TTGTACTTCAGCCGCAGTTTCTTAACCACTTAGTATATAGTGGCTTCTCAGCTGAGGGTTGCATTTTAGCAGTCTCCCCTTAAGCAGTTCAGTGGTACATCATGCGGTATACTTTGTGTGCGGATAGTTTCACTTTCAGTGGATTACTTCATTATTGAAGAGGATCACTAATAATCAGCAACAGGAAAGACCAGTGCCTGAAATGCGGTTCTTATTGCCAGTGTGCCTGTAGCCTGAGCTTCTGTTGGTAATCTTAGAGATATCTTCGAGGTGAGGTCCCTGAAGACGGAAGATGAACAAAAAGAAGGAAAGAGAAGATCCAGGCAGCTACCAATTACCTTGACATCAATATGTCAAGAGGATCCAGAACAGGTCATTAAACAGTCAGTCTATGAGTACTTAGAAAATGACACTATTATTTCTAAGACTCAACATGCCAGACTAATCTTACCTAGTAAGAGTCACAAGCTTGGTAGATCAAGGGCATGTACACGCTACATGCTGTGTATTGTGTCTTGATTTCAGCAAATGTTTTGACAAAGTCTCTTGTTATGTTTATTTAGTTGGATGATGCTACAGTTAGGTGTATGTGAAACTGGTTAACAGGCCACACCCAAAGGCTCACCAGTGACTTCTCATCTCTTGGATGGGAACATACTGCCCTTGTCCAGTTTCTGGTATAGGTAAGTTCACTAAGGTGACCAAAACAGTCTCCATTCCATAACCAGGACTGAAGCCAGATTGAAATGGATCTAGATAACCCATCTAATCCAGGAGCTGAGAAGCCACAACCCACTCCATCACCTTGCCCAAGAATGGGATATCAGAGATTGGCTGATAATTATCCAGTAATGTGGGGTCGAAGATGTGTTTTTTTTTTTTCAATAACTGTTACTACTGTACTTCCTTTAGGCATGCTGGGATGCTACCCTGCTGCAAAGAGTCCACATCATCAGGCTGCAATAAGTGAAACTTATTGATCAACACAGCACAAGTAGGACCTTTATTAACTACAGCACCCAAGTCAGAGCAGATCCAAGTGATTTTGCCTGCAAAGTACTGCGCAATTTTTTCAAAGCAAGCTACAGTATGGTCTCAACACTATCTTCCTGTGGGCCATGATGTGAGGCCCTTGACCACTTGGGAGAGCTCTGCTGGGTGACTCTGTGCAGACGCAGTGTTGGCAATGAAGAATGAATTCCTCATTGCCACAGAATAGGCCTTCCAATGGACTCTAGTCCATGTTCAGTCGAATTCACTCCAGGTTTTCTGCCATGGTCGTTCCAGTCTCCATCCCATTCAATTCACCACCAGCAGCTCCCCAGTAAACAAGGGGACTAGTTTGCCTTTACTTTCATCCTAGGCAGCCTGCCCCCAAGGCTATCCAAGCTATTTAAATTGAGGGACAGCTTAGGGGCAATCAAAACCCTTTCCTCCTTGGAGGTGTTTCTAATACATCAGAAGATAGATCAGGATACAAAATAGCTTAACAGGTTAGAGAACTGTGCTAAAACAAACAAAATGAGCTAACAGCATGGGAAAATGTGACGAATTTAGGGAGGAAAAAAAAATCAGATTTACAGATACAGGATGGTCCTACAGCTTAAAAGTAGTCCATGCAAAAAGGATCTAGGGGTCCTAATGGTTCACAAGCTGAACATGAGCCAACAGTGTGATGCAGCAAGAAAGAAAGAAAGAAAGAAAGAAAGAAAGAAAGAAAGAAAGAAAGAAAGAAAGAAAGAAAGAAAGAAAGAAAGAAAGAAAGAAAGAAAGAAAGAAAGAAAGAAAGAAAGAAAGAAAGAGTGCTATACTAGGATGTCAAAATCAAGGGAAGTAATAGTACCACTCTGTTCTGTTTGGTCAAACATCACCTAGAGTAATGTATCCAGTTCTGCCACCACAGTTTAAGAGGGATATTGAGAAACTGGAACATGTCCAAAGGAGGGTAACAAATATGGAGAGAGATTTGGAAACCAAGCCATAAAGCCATATGAAACAAGACTGAGGGAATTTGGAATGTTTAGCCCAGATGAGAGAAGGCTAAGAGGTGATATGACAGCCATCTTTCAGTATTTAAATAGCTGCCATATGGAAGATGGAGTAGGCTTTTTTTTTGGCAGCTCAAGAGGATAGGGTCAAAAGTAATGAGTACAAGTTAAAATGAAGGAGATTTTGACTAAATATTAGGAAGAATTGGATGGCTCAGTGGTTTAGGTAGCGGGCTCCCTAACCAGATTCCCCACTGTACCTCCTTGACTCAGTGATCCATAGGGTCCTTTCCAGCTCTGCAGTTCTAAGATTATTGTGATTTCCAAACAGAAAGAGCCATTCAGAAATGGCATTGACTGCCTCAGAGAGTGGTGTAGTCTCTTTCACTGGAGATTTTTAAGCAAAGGTAGGATGGATACCCAGAGTGGTGTAGTGGATGGGGTGACTAACTAGGAGGATGGATACCCAGAGTGGTGTAGTGGATAGGGTGACTAACTAGGACTCTAGTAAACATGGCTGGAATACTCGTTTTCGACTTACAGCCACCATTCCAATATGGATTAATTCCTTAAGTAGAGGGTCCACTGTAAACATGGCTGGAATACTCGCTCAGCCGTGGAAATTCACTAGGGGAGCAAAACTGGTAAAACCACTCTTTAAACATCTCACTTACCTTGAAAACCATATTAGGGTCTGACTTGATGGCGCCACTCTTTAAACATCTCACTTACCTTGAACACCATATTATGGTCTGACTTGATGGCACATAACAACAAGGATGGCTAAATGTCAGGGATGCTTGAAGGTGTGGATTTTCTGCATTGACAAAGGGAGGGACTCGATCTTTCATGGGTTCCCTTCCAGCTCTACAGTTCAGTGCTTCTATGAACACATTCCTGAACTGACTGCTTCTGAGATCACTACAAGTTTGTTTTTAAATCCACAGATCAGGGTTAAATCCAGATACTCATATTAAAAGTGGATCCAACACATCAATCAATTAAAGTGAATGAAGGCTGGATGCCATTAATCACTCAGTAGGTCTAGTCCAACTACCTTTAGCTTTTATCTAGAGTCCATCAAAAAGACATTTTTAACAACATGTGCGATGAGGCCTTTGTTTCTCCTGCAACAGCTGTACATTTATTGGATAAAATATTTGTCTGGAAAAATCTTTAGTGACTTCTGATGTGCGTGATGTGAAGAAACTGAGAAATTGGTGAAACATGGGTTGGAGACTTTTCTGGAAAATTCAGGCTTTTCTTAGTACCTGGGAACATCCAGCTGACAGAAAGCTGGGGACAGACTTTATCCTCAGAGGAATGGAAGTACTACCTGTTGTTTATCTTTTGAATGAAGACTTTAGGGCCAGGTTGGCTTGTCTTCTGATGTGCGTGATGTGAAGAAACTGAGAAATTGGTGAAACATGGGTTGGAGACTTTTCTGGAAAATTCAGGCTTTTCTTAGTACCTGGGAACATCCAGCTGACAGAAAGCTGGGGACAGACTTTATCCTCAGAGGAATGGAAGTACTACCTGTTGTTTATCTTTTGAGTGAAGACTTTAGGGCCAGGTTGGCATGTTCCCTGTGCTAATTGGAAAATGACTTCAGTTCTATGTAAAGGGGGGGGGGGGGAAACTGCTCTTGTCTTTGTGAACATTCAAAGGAATCCAAAGCCTGATTGACAAATTGTCTTGAAAGGTCCAGAAGTGCAAGAAGAATTCAGTAGTTACTTTAGTTATCTCTTAGGAGACAATACACTCAGTTGTTGTCCTGTTATGCCGTGCTGGGAGGGTTGCAGTCTGTGCATACTCTAAAACAGTGGTGCCCAACTTTGGATCCCCAGATGTTCTTGGACTACAACTCCCAGAAATCCTGGCCAAAATAGCTAGTAATGAATACTTCTGGGAATTTTAGTCCAAGAACATCTTGGCCCCAAGGTTGGAAACCATTGTTCTAAGACTGCTGATGCTACTCTAGAGTGTAATTAAAGGGTAGCTTAGCTAGTTTTCATATTTTCTCTTGTGTGTGCTCCTCCCTTAGACTCTTATTGTTTGCAGCAGAGACCCTTGGTGCCTTTTTGAAACCTTTTGAAACTTTTGCCTTTTTTGTCCATTGTCTTTAATAAAATTTAAAAACCTCTCCATCCAGTTGTCTGGATTTGTTGCTAAGAGGGTTTATAGTACTTAAAACCAGTTCTTGCATGGACCACTTATTGGGAACTTGTGTTTTTGAGGGTGTGGTGGGATTTCTACCTTGCAGGGCTGGTGTGAGACTTTTAAGTATTAAACCTTGTGAATTTTTTTAAACTCCCTGAAAGCACAGCTTAATTAGGTCAGACTAAAGTGTTGGGAGGTATCAAGACTGGGCAGGGTCCGTAGCCATTTCCACATTTTAGTCTTCTGGGGTCACCTTCCCTGGGATAAATAGGGTGGTGCCATTTTGTGGTTAGAGTGGGAATCCTTGAACCCAGTGGCCTATCATACCTGATACCCTATATAAATCTTCTGTGAATAATATATATATTCACAGAAGATTTGTGACCTTCTGTCTTTTATACCATAGAACAGTGTGAAAAACCTGTGTGAAAAAGCAGTTCATTAAATGTGGTTACAGCACTGAACAAAAATGTAATAAAGAAAGGCCTAGTTAGGTGCAGCAAACTGTGTGAACTGGTTGAGAGAAGATGGCTACATTTTCCAGTAAAGCTCATCACAGGACAACAATCAGAGAAGAAAACAATAATCCTGTGGTTTCTTAAAAAGAAGAATTGAAATATATTGGTACAAACTAAGACTTCGCCACCAGGAAAAGTCCTTCAAAGAAGACCTTAATCATAAAGTTGCATAATGATCTTTTAATCTTGCTGATTACAGCACCAATTAACTTATACCTTTCTATCTGCATGCTGGGTAAAGTCATTAAGGTGAAACTGAATATTTGAAATGTAATTATTCCTTTTCCACATGACTTACTGACTTCCTCTTCTTCTTGTCCCCCCACCCCCCCAGCACCGATAGCTGCAGGAACAGGCCCTAATTTCTCACTCTCAGATTTGGAAAGTTCTTCATACTACAGCATGAGTCCAGGAGCTATGAGGAGATCTTTACCAAGCACGTCCTCTACCAGGTAATTCAATCTGTATGCATGATGTTGGGTTACAGCTCAAGCCGCCTCTGGCTATGTGGACATTGCAAAATGGGTAATGTTGTCATTTAGTGTTCATGTTGCCTGACACTGTCTGCCTGAGACACTTGAAGGTTTTGAAGAATGAAGTGGAACATCCACTTTAAGCTGTCCCAAAGCTCTTCATTGTATACTCTAGAGTCATGCAAAGCCACAGGAGAGTTTTCTTCTCTGGCTGAAGGGTGAATAAGGAGCCAATTTCATACAGACTCCTGGACTTTTTTTTTAAAAAAAAGAGACTCAAATTGAGGACTATAAATTCATGAATTAAAAACTTTTTAAGGACTTCAAGAGGGACCACATTCCAACATGGAGAATTGGCAGTGAATTAACATATGAATGCATGAAGAGTTCATCCTGGCATTGCTGAAGTTACCAGAATTACACAGGAAACTGTTTCACACAAACGGTTGGTCGCAAGGAACTGCCTCCTCTCTGCTGTTTTTAGGAGCAATCACTTTAGGAGTGATTGCTCCTAAAAACTTTCCATTCAGAGCAATTGAATTTAAAAGTCCTCCTGCAGTACTGCTCAGTTTGTGAACCACTTTATAGGTAGCCAGTTGGGAGCACATAAATGAATATCAGCCAGCTATTCGATTGGGATGACTCACAATCAATGCGTTTATTGAAAAATATATTGGGCTATATTAAAGCTAAAATAAAAGGCAGCAATTAGAGTGCCTTAATAGAATGATATACTTAAAGTATGTGAAAATGGCATCCCTTTTGGCTAGGAAGCTGTGAAAAAACATTATGTGGTGCGCCATTCCTCTACTAGGCCTTCCTAAGGGCTGTCTGTAAGTAGTATCTTGGTAAAGTCATATTTAGTTCTTTAGCCGTGATGTAGTGGTAAATTTGGAAGTGCAGATGTTCATCATGGCAATCCCCATAGGCACCTTGCCCCATAAGGAGAATCCAGAAATGCAGGCAGCTGGATAGGTATATATCAACTATCTTTTTGAAAAGTTAAGGGCTCTTAATGCCCATTCAAATTAAAACCACACCCAGATATATTGCATTACAACAAAGATAGCTTGAAACAATCCATTTCGATCCCAGCTATTATGAGGAGAGAAGCTAAGCTAAGCTCAGAGATATCAGAGAAGCAAATGATGGGGTACACTTTCTGCTATGCAGAAAGTCCTGAGGTTTTGGGCCTGTGAGCCCTGGCTTTGCTGAACCACCATTCTCTGGAAGTTACAGTACCATGATGACATTGCAACTAAAGAGTCCTTGCAAAATATGCTTGTTGAAGATCAGATGACCACCAGGGGAGGTGCCATAGTTCACTAGGAGAGCACACTTTTTATTTGTAGAATAACAGCAGGCATTTTCAGTATATCTTTCAATATATAGGCCCTAGAATATACTTTGGGCTGTATCCTTCCCACACCACAGATATTTAGTGGGACACTTGGATAAACCCTTTAAGTCAAGCAGAAAATGTTTGTTATAAAGTAGTACTTGTGGTTTACTAGGGAATATTAGTCACAAAGCATGACTTAAAATGAGCATTTTCTGCATAAATTAGAAAGGAATTTGCAGTGATGTTTGACAGAACAGGCGGTGTGGCTTTATTCCAAAATTTTGTGGCACAGTTTTTTTTTGGGGGGGGGAGGGACTGTATCTATGGGTCACATGTTGCTCACCCCAATATAGAGGATCTCAGATTAAATTCCTTGGTTCTCCAGTTGAAACAGTTAGGTAGTAAGCAGTGTTTCAAATTGACAGTCAGTCAGAGAGGCTGAAATGGGAGCAAAGTGACACCCCCTTTGTCTCCTTAAATTAAAGAGTGTGTAGCTCTTTAGCCCAGTTCATAAGAGGAAACTGTAGTTTCTGCTTTCTGATTGAGGTTGCTCAAGCATCAGATCCATGTGCCTTCCTCTTTGTATTCTCTTCTTTCTCAAGTGCAAGGAGGAGGTTTGAGACATTTACTACCCCTGTTAAATAAAGAATAGTTCTCTATGATGTCCAAATTCAAGAAAGTGTGGCTGGCTTAAACAAGAGAACCTTTGCCCCTCCAGATATTCTGGCCTACATTTTTCATCCACCCCACCCAGCATGACCTGTACTCAGAGATTGTGTTATAATACAAAACAATCAGAGGGGCAAAGGCCTTCTACCTCTGCCTTAAATGCTAGTGAGTCTAGAACAGGATGAAGCCATTGTTTGGAGTCAGGTGTAGATAATCCCATCCCAGCCAAGCAGACAATAAAAGAAGAGGCAGAATCCTAGTACAGACTTTTATGTACTCTTTGAACCCAATGTCCTTCTAACAGGTAGAAGACAACATTGACTTACTTGGACCATTATTCTGTAAAGAGAAACTTTTTCTCTGTGCAAAAGCCTGCCTCAAGTTGCAAGAAAGGGAACAGAGAACAGCAGGCTCCAGATAAATCAGTATATACCATCTGTAAGGGCATTAGCTGAGACACTAATGTAAGTTTGAGGAACTGCCCTTTAGAAATCGAATGACACATATAGCTTTAGGAATTTAGTGATTTAACCCAGCAAATTTTTGATTCTAGGTAACTGTGGATGCGATTCTTGATTTTGTTCTTTGGCTGCTAATTTGAAGGCAGGGAATTTGTTTTATTTTGCACCTGGCATCAATGAAATTGGGATTTATAAGCAAGCTCAAGGTGTGTTGCCATCTGAAGTGCTATTAATGATTCCGATTGATTCCCCCCCCCCTTCAGTTGAGGTAGATGAGTTATTCCTCTGACATGACGAGAAATACCAAGAGTTCTTATTACTTTTGATTGTAAAGGCTCCTTCAGACCATATTTTCCACAGAGTTATCCCTCACTGTGATGGAAAAAGTGCCTAGCATTATCAAACCATTAATGGATAATGCCACACATCATATATACTATATATTATATATAGATGTATTCACACAGGTCATCACATTCTGATTGACTAGTAACAACTTCTTACGGGAACACTGAGCAAATGTTTATACAATACTGACAGTTATTCCTACATGGATGTAGCATATAAGAAAATATAACATCTGGAGTAGCCTTAGTTCTTCAGGGAGCTGGGAAGTTGCTTTTTAAAACTAATTTGTTGTGTATCTCATTAAACATCCTGTACAGTATGTTACCACCATTAACTTTGGGTTCTATAGTTACTAATGTGACTTGTTATGTTACAGTTTGGGAAGAAAGGCATAAAGATTTTTTTTAAAATGACTTAACAGTTTGGAGGAAATGCCATCAAGTGGCCAAGAAATCATTTTCTGACCCAAAGCAAGCACATCATGTATTCATTACTTGCTAATGTGGAAAAAAATGACCTTGTGAAAAATTTTATTATTTACAAATTGGGTTTGTTACACCCAAAGGTAACAAATAACATGAAATTCTGTTACTTTCAATTTATTATTTCAAAAGTATGGCTCTGCAAAGCCAACTGCAGAACTCTGAAGTACTTAAAAATTTTCAGTTAACACGAAGATTTCATTCGTTCTCTCCATATATGCAACAGGATGGCATGCATTTGGCCATTTATTTATGATGATTGAGAGAACATCATATAAATGACAGTCAACATTCTGATATTTGACAAATGATCATTAGATGTGATAGCCATGTGAATATTCATTTGTAGTATAGGACTCCATAAAGTATATGACTCTCTGTAAGTACACTAAATACTGTGTAGACAATTGTCATTCATTAGTCTCAGTCTATGTTTCTTTCCATTTCAGGATTGGTAGACTCGATAGATTATTAATGATATCTAAATGTAAAGTTCAGCTGTTGACTCTTGTATGCTGCTACAAATACCTGATGCAAATAAGAAGCTAATTATAAACAGCATCAGTAGTTAATAACTGTGCAACATGTTTGTGTTATCCTCACATTGGTATGCCTTCTTGTTAGACCAAAAAAAGCAAACAAATAAAAAAGGCCCATAAATTACAGGCCTATATCTTACTCCTAAAGGACTTTACTTGGAAGTGTGTTCCTATTGGTTCCAATAAAAAATTATTTTTAACTGTGCTTTGGGATTGTAGTCTGCCTGAATTAGAAAGTCAGTGATTGTTTTTCAGGGAAAAATAGCTGTTGCTGACCTTTAGAATGCCTTAAAAATCAAGTCAGAGTTTTGGCATAACTCCGGATGCCAAGAAATAGTCACTGTAATTTTTAAAAAATAAGTATCTAGTCCTCGTAAGTTCAAGTGTGTGTGTGTGTGTGTGTGTGTGTGTGTGTGTGTGTGTGTGTGTGTTTATGGGCAGTGACATAAAAAAGCTAAAGATGCATATTTTTAGCACATTTATCTGTGTGTGTGTGTGTGTGTGTGTGCAGTGACATAAAAAAACAAAAAATGCATATTTTTAGCACATTTATTGTTATAGTGGCAGTGTCTTATTAGTGTAATATATTTCATTGAAGACTTTAAAGACTTCTATCAGTAATAAGTGTAACAAGACAAAAAGACTGAGGGGAGACACAGTGGAAGGTGGTTAAGAATTGTCCCATCCCCAAACACAGGTGGTCTCTCTGTATTAGCCTTTTCTGATACCCCAGAAGACTTTACTTCAAGAGTCAATGAAGAAAATCCTCACTATAGCAAAATTTCAAGAAGAGAGACAGTGTGAGTTATCTCTGTGGATAGACTTAAACGTGATTGGAATGATGGCAGCTAATTATTATTATTATTTTAAACTGTGCAATAGATCCTTGATACAGAAAGCAGTCTTCTCTGGCTTCGTTCAATAGGACATTTAGCCAGGTAGTTTACCCTTGGGACGTTTGCTTCTTTTGTATACAGAAAAGTGCAACGGACTCCATAAAGCTGACAATAGATGCAATATTTGCTGACCCTGTCTTGGAAAGTGAATTCAATAGGGCATTCTCCCCCCCCTCCCCAGTGCAGTCAGTTCTTCTTACTATAGCTGAAGAAGCGGAGGGCTCCTGGCTCTGCGCAATTCCCCACATTGCCCTGCCAGAGTCTGAGTCGATTGACCTTCAGAGCTGAGCACGAGGGTTATCTTTCCTTTCAGGCTTTGCCTGAATGTTACATGAGGGAGGAATGTATGTGGCAGAATGATGAGTAACGTTTCACCTCTGAATTGCTCAGGTTAAAATGCTTTGGGTTTCATGAATTTTGGGCTTGGAGCTTTTTCTTTTCTTTTAAATCTTCAAGGGATAGTTCTCCTTGGCTGGCTGCACTAGTTAGGAATAATCTGGCAGCCCTTCTATGACTCCCAAGGCAACAACAGGCGTTATGTCAGATTTGTTCTTTTAGTTTTTGCTTATAGTCTCAGCTTTGCTTATCCAGACCTTTTCTGTGATGGCTTGTTAATCTGAATGAACTGTGTGACCTTACTCATAGCATTCACAACATTACTGTGCACTGTGTAAAATACATTCCTACTTTAAAATGCATTAGAAAACCTTGTCTGCAACAGCTAACTTATTGTCCTGTTTTGATAGCAAACCCACATTGTCCTTTCTGTTCCCTCCTGGCTCATAAAACAAACCAGAAGGAAGCATGGCCCAGGTAGGGCAGGGGGAGTGGTGAATGTCTCCCAGATTCCACCATTCCTAAAGCAGGACGCTGTTAAAAAGCTGTCCTTGAATCCTACCTTACCAGATACAGTAATTATCAGCCAATCTCCAGTGTTCCCTTCCTGGGCAAGGGAGTGGAACATGTGGTGGCTTCCCATTTTCTAGGATTCCGGAATGAACTAGATTATCTAGATCTATTTCAGTCAATTTTCAAGCCTGGTTATGAGATGGAGATGACTTTGCTCATAATCTATGTCAAGAAGTGAACAGGGGGAATGCCTGCTTTTGGTTCTACCAGACTTCTTGATGTCTTTCAGCACCATCAACAATGGGCTGTCTCTTTGCAGTAGAATGTGAAAGCACAGTTTTGCAGAGTCTCCATGTCTTTTCTAGAGAAGCCAACTCAGAACATGGTGATGTTTAATGCCCAAGCTATTGGGCTCCATCAAGGTTCTGTTTAGACTCGTCATAGGCATCCTTCAGTCTCGAGAGACTATGGTAACATGCTCTGAATCAAGGAGTGTTCTCTCCAGAGCATGAAGCCTGGGTAAAGTTATATGGAGGATAGGCTATTACCCATGCAGCAGATCCCCCCTCTCCACGTTGCTGAAATGGTCCAATGGAAAGGCAAGAGCCAATACAACTGGTTCCAGCAACATCGCAGGAGTTGGCAGAACGATACGAACTGCCTTCGGGACTCCTGCTCCGGATTTTGCCTCTAGGTTAACTCCTGAAGCCTTTTCCATGAGTGGATATAGCCACAAGGCAGCAGAGGTTTGTTTAGACTACCCGATGCTATTTAACTTATACAAGAAGCTACTGGGGAAGGTTTCCAGAGTTGCTAGTATGTCAACAACACTGATTTTTATCCTGCACCCAACCAAGATAGCCTTATACAAATTGGGCCTGGGCTAGCTAAAAGACACCATATGAGCCTCTGCAGTTGTATATCCTTGGCAGAGCCTTTCTTTAGATCCTGTCAATTTCATAGGTATACCTGATGAGGATGCCGGCAAGGAATTTCTTATTGTTGCATCCATGCTATGAAATTCCTTTCTGTGGGAGGCCAGGGAAAGGGTAATGGATCTCACAAAAGCAGGCTGGCTGGCTGTTACTCTGGGCAACATTCCAGGGTGTGACATGTTCTTGTGTCTCTCATGTACCTCATTGTTGTTATTGTTGTTGTTGTAGCAACATTGCACATAGTTTTCTGAATACCTCCAAAAATAATGTTAATTTGCCTTAGAAAATAGATGAGGCATAAGAGGGTGTCAGAAAACAAAATCTTCTTCATGCCTTGGTTTCTGGGTGAGAAAACCCTTGTAAGACTATTTAGAGCAAGTCATGAAATATCTAGGGCTTCTTGTGAAGTACTCTTTTCAAGCGTTTCTAAGATTATTTATCTTGCTGATCGGAAATAGCAGAAGCAGGGTTCAGACATCCTCCTCTGCTCACGCAAAGGTATACCCACTGGCCATGTCCTGTTGCCATACGGACATTTTTCATATACAAGAGGGGTATGTATGTATGCCTTATAATGTACACAGGGTTTATGTGGAATTTCTGAGCTCTGAATTCAAGGCGAGCAGCTTTTCTGGGATTAGGATGCTAAAAGGTAGACTGACATTTTGCCCGGCATCAACTTGTGTAACAACCTGTTTCTTTTTCAATTCCAGCTCTACAAAGCGCCTCAAATCTGTAGAGGATGAAATGGACAGTCCAGGTGAAGAGCCATTTTATACAAGCCAAGGGCGGTCTCCAGGAAGTGGCAGTCAGTCAAGTGGATGGCATGAAGTAGAGCCAGGTAAATATGGTTATTCAAGTGAGCTTTTAGGAGACCTAGGGAAGACTCAGTTCATTTACTTTAATCTCTGTGAGGATGTCTTGTATGAGATGGTATGTGGAAAAACTACAAACACTGAGTGACTCTGCACCTGTAAATTTATTGGTAGTAAGTTGTTTTGGAAAAGCATTTGTGGTGTTGAGTGATGGCTTCCAGTGCTGTCAAAGCTGCCTTATCCCAAAATATGACTATAAATCAGGTTGGCTTGCCCACAAAAGGGTTGCCTATTTTAATTAAATTATATTGTTAAAATGACAGTAGTTGAAAAGGGAGGAGGAAAAGCTTTGCTATTGTTAACATGAATTGATTTTATTCTGCAGTGGTGTTTGAATTGCATTGTGGGACAGGTTGTTCTGTTGATTTTAAAAAAACTGGAAAAGTAGAATGATTTATTTCAATTCATCCATGAAGTTGTTGTGATGTTGTTGGATCAGTTAGTTAATTTTCAAGTCTGTTTCCATTTAATTTTTCTTGTTAAAGCTGAGTTTCCTTAGAGAAGTGTTGCATGCCATAAGGTTTCAAAAGGTGGTGTTGAATGTTGTCTGTCCCACCCTGTGGTCTTTGTGGTGCCTCAGGTTTTAGTCTTATCCTCCGTAGTATGTGAAGCTGCTGGGAAAAGTTATCTGGACGTTAGTAGTGTGTTTGCGGTAACTATATGACACACACAGACATGCCTGTGAGCCCAAAATGGATAGGATTCAACTCTCAATGAAGAAACAGGTATGCCGATAGTGCAGGTGGCGAAAAACACTTCCCACTAGATTACTCTTGGATACTATTTCTACCATATGTATCTAATATCACTGAACCTGGCCTTGGATACCCATGCAGTCATTATCTCTACACAGTATTGTATTGCTCTATTTTGGCAAGGCGGCTTGGCAGGTCCATCTCAACCACCATCTTGGTCAAATTATTATTTATTGTAGCAAATTGATACAATATATTTACAGCTTTTTCAGAGCTTGAAGAATGTCCCAGTTACTTTTAATAGAATCATACTGAATAGTGACTATCTGAACAGTTTTCCCAGTGTCCCCTGGAAAGGAAACTAAAAATTCCAATTATTCTTAAGGTGCCTGTACTTCTTACATGTAGTTATTTTACTTTAATGGGTGAGGGCATTGTATGTATGTTTAACTATCCCTAGTGGGAGTATTTTTTATTTCTATAGACAAACTATATTTTGGGTTTATTCTCCCAAGTTTTTTTAATGCTTCTTTAATCCTGTCATGCCAACAGTTCTTTAATTTTGTCAGTTTGTTATAGGATTTGGGTTTGCATATTAATGCAACATGTTGCATATAGAAAAGTTACGTACAATAGTGTTTGAACTTAATCATCATCATTATTGTATGAGGGAGAAGCATTTGAAATATAAAGTATATAGTGCATATAGGATGCTTTCTAAGCTTTTCAGATAGTTATTACTGCTGTTTACCATTCCAAGGGAATGTGTTGGACACTGCCAAAAGACCTCGTTGCTCTTCTCTAAGCCCTTAATGATTTGCACAGTCTTATAATTGCATTGAAAGTAATGATGGCTATACACTATAAAGTATTTTCAGCTGATACGTTCAAGCATAAAATATTCTGCATTTGTGGACTCTTGGTTGAATCCACCAATGTGCTAGTGGAAGAAATTTTGGCAGGGGCTCTGTTCTGTTAACTAGTATGCGAGAGCTATCAGAAGATATGACGTGATGTAATAATATCTTGTGTGAGGCCTGTGGAATGGATTGTGCAAGCCTGAGGATTTCAGTTTTCTTTTCTGCAGCAAGAATCTTGAGTTAAGACAGAAAAAGCCTTCTTGTCTCAATCTGGTTCCCAGCCCTGTTATTGAATTCCTTTATTTGTGTACTGGATTGTGCTTCTACTGTATTGGAATGTACCTACCTTGATAGGCCTTCATATCATACAGATGAAATGCTTGGTCAAGATTGTCATTCTATAGGGTAATACAGTCACAATGGCAGTTTAAGGTGGCTTCTCAACTTTTTAAAGATGCAAGCTCGCCAAGTGCCTATTCCCACCAGTGATACAGTTTGAGTCTTGTGGAAACCAGTAAGGTGCTCTGTGGAGAATTTTGGGTGTCCCACTGCGTTGCTTGAGAGCATTGAAACAACAGCTAGAAATACTGCTCATCCTTCATAAATGCACATCCCTCAGAAATCTGTCATTGAGGATGAAACAAGTCAACTCATCAAGATGAAAGCCTGCAAAAGTTACTGGTTTGTGACATTTTAATGGATTCTGGGAATTTTTTTTAAAAAAATTATTTCTAAAGAATGAAAAGACAATCGACCATATTACAAATAATAAATACAAAGTTATTCCCCATAATTCTCCAAATCACATATATACCATTCCCCGTCACCTTTTAAAGAAATATTGACCAACAATCTAAATTTCTTTTCAATCCACATGTCTCAAAGTCTATTTTGTCGGCATATTTAT